TCACAAAATTGTGTCATGCCTCAGTTTTACCTTAGTGCTTAATGAGGAAAAAGCAAACATAAAGAAAGTATGCAAACAGAACTCTAATATAAAAGAAAACTCAAAGGTAGGTGGAATTAGCAGAGAATAAGACCAATCTTGAATTACCCAATTTAATAATCATTTATAGTGTTATCAAGAGAATATGTCATGGTATGATTAGGATATTGTGTTTACAAATGTAAAAACAAAAGTGTAAGACACTGAAACTGTTTTGAAACTAGGACATTTAAATTCCAAGAAAGCTAAAGTACTGATGTAAAAATGAAAATAGATCATCCAAAGTTAGACAAATAAATGAAAATCCAGAGTCCTCAAAACTAAACATTTAGAACTTGGTCTACTGGTTTGGCTACTCACAGTCAACATCCTAAAGATGGTTTTGTTGAGATCACAAAGAGAAAACACAAACTGAAGTGACACCATACATCTGACGATTTTTTTTTTGCTTCATGGACTAAAAAACCTGTGGTATTGACATGTCTACCCAGTCTTTTCACACACACACACAAAAAAACAAATTCACCTCTACTGAAAAAGAACATGATTGAAAAACATACAGGGAGGTTCTTAGTGTTACAGAATAAACTAATACTTTAAAACACTCCTAAAAATAAAGAATTTTTTTATTTTAATTTATTCCCACAATTAAATTCCAAGCATTAAATTCCATAATCTAGCAGACAGACACACATAAAGTCCCTCAGACATTAAATCAGAAAACAAAAAACAGTAACTCTAACAAGCTGTTGCTCTCAGATGGCTAGAAACTAACTTTGTAAAAATCCAGAAATAATGGTCTCAACGTTGAATATTCTGATTTTCAACTTCTACTGAATATCTTCTGCAAGTAAGTCTCATTAACAGTTTTTGAAAAAAAAGAGCAGACACTATTTTTTTAGTCCACTAGGGAAGTAACACCACCACCACTTATTTTTCAAAGCTTATACTTTAATGTGGTTAATAAGATAATAAACTGTAAAGTCACCAGACTTATAAGTAATCTTCATGTGAAATCAAGGGTAATTTTAAATATTTGATGCTATCAAAATATTATTAGATAGATAAGGTGTTTTAAGGGAGATTCAGAAATGGAAGTATCACACAACTTGCTGGAAGACTAAATGAGTATATTTTATTTGGCAAAAGTAAAATATAATATTTGAAAGGCCAACAACTAATCTTAATATAATTAATACAACATATTCAATGATCAGAATTAATCAAGCAGTTATCATTAAAGTTTTTATGTTTTAAGGCATATAAAACACAAAAGTTTAAAATAATGATACTTGTCTTTAAATAACTACAATTCTAGTTCTAGTGAAAAGACAAGAACACAAAAAGACCAGCCCTGAGGAGGCAATTTTAATTCTGAATATAATTTCATCTAGAACGTGGACAACCAGCAACAGGTGACTCTCCCACTCATACCCTACACGCTGCTGCTGCTAAGTCACGTCAGTTGTGTCTGACTCTGTGCGACCCCAAAGACGGCAGCACACCAGGCTCCTCTGTCCCTGGGATTCTCCAGGCAAGAAGACTGGAGTGGGTTGCCATTTCCTTCTCCAGTGCATGAAAATGAAAAGTGAAAATGAAGTCACTCAGTCACATCCGACTCTTAGACCCCGTGGCTGCAGCCCACCAGGCTCCTCCGTCCATGGGATTTTCCAGGCAAGAGTACTGGAGGGGGTGCCACTGCCTTCTCCCATACTCTACATAGCTTTGGGAAAATTTAGTTTTGGCTTTAATGGCAATCTTATGAAACGCCTCTAGATGGCGATATTGTCTTCAAATGTTTAAAAATCTTTCATGTTAACTTTCAGAACCAAGAAATAATACATGTTTTTCAATAAACTAGAAATATCTTAGATATTTGAAATACTTTATCTTAAAAGTTGAGAATAAAGAAATACAGAGAGATTAACTGACTTGTTCAATATTCCATAACTGGTAAAATGGCAATGCCAGGCCTAGAGCCAAAGTTTCCTGATTTAGGCCTAAGGATTTTGAGTTCTTAGCATTAAAGAAGTAAATGTTCTAAGCTATAGATTCTTCTCTAAAAGTGAAATTAATTTCAACTTATATACAAACTGTATTTTTTTATTCATATGAGTCAATCACACAAAGAGAAAAAGATACCCCATTACTTGGGAAAGCACTGGGGTCAAGACCTAGTAAAATAAACACTCAGAAAGAGGGTTTATCATTGTGGCTGAAAGTTTTGGGAAAAGTTAGACCTAAATAAGCTACTAAAAAACTGAATGGATACAAAAAAATGGGGCAAAAACTCCCATTCTCAAGTTCGTTTTTTTCCCCAAGGCCAAATAAGGCAAAGCATTAATACTGATGTTCAAAATGAGAAAATGATTCTTCAATTTTAAAGGAATTCATTTCCCGAGAGTTTTAGCCCAGTGGTTCACCATTTTTCTACTGCAGCACACAGGACAGAAGAGATTCATATTGGTCGCCCTCTACTTCATGTTCAATTCCTACACACTAGCTGTAGCTCTGTCTGGTTTTTCTCACTCAAAAAAAGACATACCAAATCAAATTACAATGATAAGCTGAAATTTGCTCTATTTTAAAACAAAAAACCCTAGGATAATTTCTTGAATACTTCATTCTATCTGTGGCTAATTACACGCAGAAAGTTTTTCAAAATTATCTTAACATTTAGATTGGGGTATTATGGTTTCTTTCTGTTTCTAATAACAAAGAAATACGGATGAAAATCATTTGCTGTATATTTCAAAAAATAGCTAGAGAATTTGGGAAAATACAGTGAATCTGCTAAAGGCAGTGAATTTCAGTATTATTAAAATTTACTAGAATAATACGTTTAAAGTCATTCCATTAAGTTAAGCCTACTTCTTTACTGATTTTAAAGAAATTGGAATTATTTGAATCTGAAAAAACTATTTTTTTAAAACTACATAACCCTGAAGTATAGGATAAATGCTTGTAAAACAAAATGATACACCAAATTTTTAACATTTGAATAAGCAGAAATTTTCAGTATACATTACCTGAAGATGCAAAGTTATGGGATTTTAAATTTTCAATTTAGCAAGACAATGAGGACCAAGCCTCAGTTAACACAGCAAACCCTGACACTCCACTGAAACCCAACATTCCATTAAAAAAAAAATTCAATGGGAGAGTGGATTCAGACATAAAATTTGGCTCTATAGGTTTTCTAGAACATACTTATTCCAATTAGGACAAATATCTGCATAAAAAGAATCATCAGATGGAAAATGGTAATTTAGCTGTTCTCCATCTCCACTGAAACCTAACATGAAAACAAGAGGAACAGGATTTATAGTCAAAGTATGAGAGACATATACTTGTATTAAGAAAGGAAAACCAAACTACAATGAAATCTCAGTGAACCAGCTATGCAAGTGAAGTTTTTGATTAAATACACTTATGAACCTATATATTTTTTTCCTTCAAATTCTATCAAGATGCATTATTATATATGATGGAAAGAATAAACAACTGGAAGTTGGGAACTTCAAGCTTCATACTCTAGATGATATTAACAAATACTTTTGAATATTTCAAGTCACTTAATCCTTTCTGGGTCTGTTTTCTCAAATGGAAATGAAGCTGTTAAGCTCTAAAACAACTTAAGCAAACAAGCAAAAGCATACAACCTTTCCTTTAAATATTAATTAGGTAAAACAAATAAAGGCAGAAAAGCTAGGGCTAAAGTACAAATAGGGGACTGGAACACTGTCCATTACAACCTGTCCATACCATGGTCTGAGGTTAAAAAGAACTCTAACGTATCCCAAACAAACCATTTAAAAACCTCTAAATTCTAAAAATAATTTTCAGAATTATGTTACCGGCACTACAAGATTAAAATATAAACCAATTTTTAATTCTGAAAAAAGGATTTTTAAAAAGAATTTTTTTCAAATAACCAGAAACTGGCAAACATTCAGTGAACATAAACACCTATTGTTAAGAATTCCAAATTAACTGACACTTTACTATATCCAATTATGATTACACCAAGTAAATTACAGAATTGCCATAAAGAATTTACATATATAACATATATTAATATAAATAATAATTATATAATATTTAATTATATAATTGTTGCATATAATTTATATATTATGTATAATATATGTATATTATATATAATTTATATATTATGTATAATATATGTATATTATATATGATAACATATCAGCATATAACAAAAATAATATAAAGAAACAACACTGAGAAGAAAAGAAAGGGCTAAACTGAAGATATTGAACCCAGTTAAATTCATTGTTTATCTCCATAAGCTGCACTATTTCAGAAAAATATTTTATTTTGAAATTCCATATTATTCTTCTGAGAATAATCCCAGTAAGACAAGTCATATTTCAGTACTATCATCTCTTGGAGCTAAATGGGATACAAATTCCAACCTTAGCCAGAGAGACTCCACATAAAGAAGTAGGTTAAAGGTTCTAAGGAATTTAAAAGAAACAGACACAACTACAGATATAACTATTGTTAAAAATATGTTTAAGGAAGTTCAAAATAATAATTAAAACAAAAAAATAAGCTTAAATGTGTAACATAAAGAGCATTTACTAAGATTTTCCATTAAACACAAAGTCACAAACATCTTAACATCTAGATGTGCATTAGAAATTTAAGTATTAATTCTTTTTAAAAAATTCCTAAGCTCATTTAAGAAACTTTTAAAAGAAAATTATATTTACCTCTAGATATTAAAAATATCTTTTATTTTTACATTGACTTAATGTACAAATTCTTATAAATAAAAGTGAATCCAACATGATATAAAACTTCATTATTTCATGTATTTAACCATTTCATGTTAACCCTTTTGTTAAAAAAATAAACTATCAATAAGGTATTCTTAATATAGCTTCTAAAACTGGTCACTAATGTCTACAATATTCATTTGAAAATATTCTTACCTTTCTTCTGAGCTATATAATCGAGCAAGTCCAAAATCTGCAAGCTTTATCTGTCCTCTGATGGTAGTAAGATAAAATGAACAAAAAGTATTAGTTTACTCTGAATTGATGGTACACATTCTCTTCTATTTCTAGAACTAACTAGTAACTCTGGTTACATTGCAGACCCAAGGCTCTATAGGAAAAGACAAATAGATAAGCTCACAACAATATAAGGCAAAAAAATCAGTACTTTTCTTTGGATAATTTCAGCTACTATTACACCAGTACTATTATTATATATCTTATTATACATAAAAGTACTAATATAACAAGTTTCTCAGTATTATCCAGTTCCTATTTAGAAAAGTATACTTCAATGAAAATTAACAAAGTGAAGTAATTTGTATTACTTCAGTAGTAATACAGATTACCTGCTCAATTCCAGCCAAAAATGCACAAAACCAAACCATATCATTTTAAATGTATGTTTAGTTTTCCAGTTCTTAAGAGTGACTAGGGGCTCTACAGAATACTCCCTATTAATTAAAATCAGGATCAGGCATGCCTCACTGTAACAAACAGCAGCAATTACAACAGAATTATCAGAGTTCAGGTTCTGCTTCCAGTAAAATATTTAACAGAAACTCTGAATATATACGTAGGTACGTACGTACATGTGTATAACACTTCAAAAATAGTTCACTTAAAAAGTGTGATGACTTTTTAAAAATAATCCAAATTAAGAAAGACTCTAAAATTCATTTTTAATCTAAAACTAAAATCACATTATTATTAGAAGAATCATTCATATGATTTGGAAGACTATCACACAAGAAGGTCAACTAAGTGCTGGGAGCCGGGAGGTGCTTATAACGCTCAGTAGTCTTCCTGTCCCTTTCTCTCCTCCACTGAGGTATGACAGCTGCTGTTCAGCAACAACAAAAGGAGGGGTTAAATAGTTTCCCCAAGTTCACTAAAACTGGTATATAGTTTACAGATACTAGTATACAGCTTCAAACTACTCCGTGGATTCAAACCCAGGCCTTTATGACTCCTAAATCCCTGTAAGGTTAAACAAACTCTAAAGAGACCTTTAGAGGTCTGATCCAATTAATTCTATTAAATTGCTTAGATTGAGGAGATGGAATGTCAACAAGTCAACAAAGTTTACCTTACATACATTACAAACTATTACTGGAATTTAATTAACTGAAGTATATTTAACACAACTTCAGATGTAGTCCAAACTGTAATACTGATTATGTTAAAAATATTTTAAGCAATAAAAAACTAATTTTTAAATCTCATCAAGGTAGACAATATATGATTCATTTTAAACATATATGTCAAACTTTTATCATACCTATTGTTTAGAAGAATATTTGAACATTTGATATCTCGATGCAAAAAGTTCTTCTTATGACAATAATCCAGACCTTCCATGAGCTGTCTCATAAATGACTTTATGTGATTTTCATTAAAATGAACCAAGCCTGATTCCAACAGTCCCATCAGATCATGGTCCATATATTCAAACACCAGATAAAATGCACCTAAGAACAACAATAATTAATACATTAAAGATTTTATTCATATAACTTTACCACAGGTTCAAAATTTTTAAAAAATAAAGAGCTGGGAAGAAAACTAATCCTTTAAAAGAACTGATATTTTTGTCATTTAATAATGTTTACTCTCTTCTCTCTGAATCTAGTATCAATAACATCCCAAGGAGATATCTAACCAACTTTCTTCCCCTAAAGAAAATTGCTATGATATAAAATCAGCACAGCTAATTTCCACACTGCATAGTTTCTGGGTATGATTAATATAAAATCAATTCTTAGCTGTTTTACTTACTGAACGAACTGTTTCTTGGCAAAAGCCGAAAACAATCAGTATAGTTCATCAAAGAAAATTTAAAGATGTTACAAGAATTACTTTTAATAAAAAAAATAGTCTGGGTCCAGTTGGGCTTTATATGGGCTTCTAGTAAGTCTTTAATAAATGTAAAATTTAATTCTTTTATACAGCTCCAGAGTATGTGAAAGCATACAAATTACAGCTTAATTTTGTAAAACCAACTTATTAATCCTACTACTAAAACATACAACAGCACATAGCACATACACATGATACAAATGATAAATTCAAAATTCTTAAACAAAACTTGCACAAACTGAATCCAAAGCTATTATCTATACATATCTCACTCAAGCAGTTTAATTTACCAATTCAAGACTGAAAAAGCTAATAAAATTCCATACATCTATCTTTCAAAGTAAAAAAGCCATCAATACACCAAATAGACATCAAAATATAATCATAATCAGTTCCTGAAGAAAAACAGAGCAAAGGGAACCCCCTGTCAGCCCAGTGGTCAGCACTGCACTGGGCAACTTCACAGCAGGGCCGAGGTTTAAGCCGTGCTCTGGGGGTCCTGCAAGTCACACGGCAAGGCAAAAAACCAAAAATAAAAAAACAACTAAAGCAAAGATTTCATAGTAACCTTGCAATAGGATATTTTCTTTACAACAGTACTTCCCTGAAACAAACAATTAGTGTCATATTTAACAGTAAGATGCCAGGTGTTGTACACAAGACAAGAATGTTCATTATTACTAACTGTTCTAGAACTTGGTAAGTAAAACTAGAAACAAACTTTGAAAGTGACAAAAACAAGATTACTGGTAGAAGAGATGACAACCTCTCCAGATCCAAAAGAATTTTTAAAAAAGAAAAAGACACATCAGAAAAATTGTATACAAAAAAGGTTAGTCCAGGGGCTTCCCTTGTGGCTCAGCTGCTAAAGAATCTGCCTGCAATGCGGGAGACCTGGGTTCGTTCCATGGGTTGAGAAGATCCCCTGGAGAAAGGAAAGGCTACCCACTCCAGTATTCTGGCCTGGAGAATTCCATGGACTATATAGTCTATGGAGTTGCAAAGAGTTAGACAGGACTGAACGACTCACTTTCACACAAAAAAAAGACTTCTTACATGCCAGCAACAATTAGAACTTAAAATCGGAAACAATTAGAAAGTACAATTTAAATGACTCCACAATAGAAGAAGAAATACTAAAAATGACACATGGACATCAACAGATGGTCAACACCAAAATCAGACTGATCATATTCTTTGCAGCCAAAGATGAAGAAGCTCTATAGTGTCAGCAAAAACAAGACCAGGAGCTGACTATGGCTCAGATCATGAACTCCTTATTGCCAAAATCAGAATAAAATTGAAGAAAGTGGGGAAAACCACTAGACCATTCAGGTATGACCCAAATCAAATCCCTTATGACTATACAGGGGAAGTGAGAAATAGATTTAAGGGACCAGATCTGATAGACAGAGTGCCTGATGAACTATGGACGGAGGTTCGTGACATTGTACAGAAGACAGGAATCAAGACCATCCCCAAGAAAAAGAAATGCAAAAAAGCAAACTGGCAATCTGAGGACTTATAAATAGCTGTGAAAAGAAGAGAAGCGAAAAGCAAAGGAGAAAAGGAAAGATATTCCCATTTCAATGTAGAGTTCCAAAGAATAGCAAGGAGAGATAAGAAAGCCATCCTCATCGATCAATGCAAAGACAGGAAAACAACAGAATGGGAAACACTAGAGATCTCTTCAAGAAAATTAGAGATACCAAGGGAACATTTCTTGCAAAGAAGGGCACAATAAAGGACAGAAATTGTATGGACCTAACAGAAGCACAAGATATTAAGAATAGGTGGCAAGAATACACAGAAGAACTATACAGAAAAGATCTTCATGACCCAGATAATCATGATGGTGTGATCACCCACCTAGAGACAGACATCCTGGAATGTGAAGTCAAGTGGGCCTTCGGAAGCATCAACACGAACAAAGCTAGTGGAGGAGATGGAATTCCAGTGAAGCTATTTCAAATCCTAAAAGCTGATGCTGTGAAAGTGCTGCGCTCACTATTTCACCAAATTTGGACAACAGCAGTGGCCACAGGACTGGAAAAGGTCAGTTTTCATTCCAATCCCAAAGAAAGGCAATGCCAAAGAATGCTCAAACTACCGCACAACTGCACTTCTCTCACATGCTAGTAAAGTAATGCCCAAAATTCTCCAAGCCAGGCTTTAACAGCACGTGAACCATGAGCTTACAGATGTTCAAGCTGGTTTTAGAAAAGGCAAAGAAACCAGAGATCAAATTGCCAACGTCCGCTCGATCATTGAAAAAGAAAGAGTTCCAGAAACACACCTATTTCTGCTTTATTGATCATGCCAAAGCCTTTGACTGTATGGATCACAAAAAACTGGAAAATTCTGAAGGAAATGGGAATACCAGACCATGCGACCTGCCTCTTAAGAAACCTGTTTGCAGGTCAGGAAGCAACAGTTAGAACTGGACAAGGAATAATGAATGGACCAGATCCAAATAGGGAAAGGGGTACGTGAAGCCTGTATATTGTCACCCTGCTTATTTAACTTAAATGCAAAGTACATCATGGGAAACGCTGGGCTGGATGAAGCACAAGCTGGAATCAAGATTGCCGGGAGAAATATCAATAACCTCAGATATGCAGATGACACCACCCTTNAGGGAAAACAGAGGATGAGATGGTTGGATGGCATCACCGACTCGATGGACATGACTTTGAGTAAACTCCGGGAGTTGGTGATGGACAGGGAGGCCTGGCATGCTTCAGTCCACGGGGTCGCAAAGAGTCCATGGGGACACGACTGAGCAACTGAACTGAACCAAGAAAAGACCAGGACAACAATAGAAAATGAAAAATTAATGAACTGTCAATATGCAGATGCCTATGTATTTAATCTCACCATTAATCAAAATATACAAATCATATACCACTTTTAACTAAGAGGAAAATATTTCCAAAGGAAAATTACACAGTATTAAAATAGGTATGACGTAAACTTACACTGTTATATGCTGCCAGTAGTAAACCGGCATATTTACAAAATATAATTTGGCAAAGGCACCCCCAAAGCTTTGAAAATCCTGTGCCCTTTAACATAGCAAGGGCTTTTATAGATATTTATCACAAGGAAATAAAGACATAAAAGTTTTCTCTATAAGCATGTTCACTAAAAGCAATATAACAACACCTAAAAACATTAAGCCAAAAAAAAAAAAAACACCCCACAAACAGGTATTATGGTACATCTATACCATATTGTGCACTCTGAAAAATATTGCAGAAGTATGTTGCTGATATGGAAATATACTGATGATAATGAGTTAAAGTAGGTTATCAAAGATTATGCAGTTGATACCTCTATCTCACTATCTTTGATGGTATACATAACACAGTTAATTATACAAAGAATATCCAGAGTTGAACAGCCCAATACAGTAATTACTAGCTACATGTGGCTACCGCTCACTTGAAATGTGGATGGTCTAAATGTTCCTGAAGTATAAAACATACATTGATTTCAAAAAGTCACAAGTAAAAAAATTCATATCTTGATAATTTGTTAAATTGTTTCCAAACTAACAGTTTTAAAAAATAAAAATTAAAAAATAAAAATTAAAAAAAAAATAAAATAAAAAAAAATAAAACTAACAGATTGTGTTAAGTAAAACATAATGTCTTGCATTCTATTTCTACTTGTCCAACTCTTTGTGACCCTCTGGACTATAGCCCACCAGACTCCTCTGTCCATGGGGATGCCGCAGGCAAGAACACTAGAGTAGGTTACCATGTCCTCCTCCAGGGATCTTCCCAACCCAGGGATTGAACCCAGGTCTCCTGCAATGCAGGCAGATTCTGTACCATCTCAGCCACCAGGGAAGCCCATACTGAATTAAGAATAAGAAGTGAAATATGAGTGCTAAAACTATCCCCACTTGTAGATGACATGAACTTTTGTTCTCTGAAAAGACATACACATTCAATATAAAAAAAATTATTAAAAACTTTCTTGGATCATTTGACCCAAGAAGCCAGCCTACAGGCTGTCAAATAATCAACTAACACTTTTGAAAGGTCCACACTAACAACTGAGACCTTCCCTCAACAGTGAATTACAATTTGCCAGCCATGTGAGAGAGCCAACCTGGAATAGATTCTCCAACCCTGGTTACACCTTCTACTGATGATGCCCCAGTCAACATTCCACTGCAATTTTATGAAAGAATTCAAGTTAAAACTGCCTAGCTAAGCTTCCCAAATTCCTGCCCACAGAAACTGCAAAAAAATAAGTTTCCAGGATCACTTTTGAAGTACACTTGCCAAAAATGTGAACTTACATCTCAATAATCATCTATAGCCAACTTCCATTTACAGGAAATACGATTAGAAGAACAAGCTCAGTCGCTCACTCATGTCTGACCCTTTGCGATCCCATGAACTGCAGCATGCCAGGCTTCCCTCTCTCTCATCAACTCCTGGAGCTTGCTCAAACTCATGTCCATCGAGTCGGTGATGCCATCCAACTATCTCAACCTCTGTCGTCCCCTCNTCATCTGCATATCTGAGGTTATTGATGTTTCTCCTGGCAATCTTGATTCTACCTTTTTGCTTCATCCAGCCAGGCATTTCACATGATAGACTCTACATATAAGTTAAATAAACATGTGAAAATATACAGCAGTGACCTATTCCTTTCCCAATTTACAACCAGTCTGTTGTTGCATGTCTGGTTCTAACTGGTGCTTCTTGACCTGCATACAGATTTCTCAGGCGGTAGTTAAGGTGGTCTGGTATTCCCTTCTGTTTAAGAATTTTCCATAGTTTGTTGTGATCCACACAGTCAAAGACTTTGGTGTAGTCAATAAAGTAGATTTTTATTCTGGAACTCTCTTGCTTTTTCTATGATACAATGGATGTTGGTAATTTGATCTCTGGTTTCTCTGCCTTTTCTAAATCCAGCTTGAACATCTGAAAGTTCTCGGTTCATTTATTGTTGAAGCCTGGCTTGGAGAACTTTGAGCATTCCTTTGTTGGCATGTGAGATGTGTACAATTGTGTGGTAGTTTGAACATTCTTTCACACTGCCCTTCTTTGGGACTGAAATGAAAACTGACCTTTTCCAGTCCTGTGGCCATTGCTGAGTTTTCCAAATTTGCTGGCATATTGAGTGCAACACTTTCACAGCATCATCTTTTAGGATCTTCAATGACTCAGCTGGACTTTCTTCACCTCCACTAGCTTTGTTCATAGTAATGCTTCCTAAGGCCCACTTGACTTTGCATTACAGAACGTCTAGTTCTAATTGAGTGAGCACACCATTGTTGATATCTGGGTCATGTAGATCTTTTTCATATAATTCTTCTGTGTAGTCTTGCCACCTCTTCTTAATATCTTCTGCTTCTGTTAGGTGGCATACCATTTCTGTCCTTTACCACCACCAAAGAAAGCATCTGTCAAACCCAAAGCATGGTCTATCCTTCAATCAATCAACATTCGGTGATCAGTCATGTCCCACTCTTTGTGACCCCATGGACTACAGCCCACAGGTTCCTCTGTCCATGGAATTCTCCAGGCAAGAATACTGGTGTGGGTTGTCATTTCCTCCTCCAGGGGATCTTCCCAACCCAGGGATCAAACTCCAATCTCCCGCATTGTGGGCAGATTCTTTACCATCTGAGTCACCAGGGGAGCAATAAGTAGAGCAAAAATTTTAAAAGGCAAGAGTAGATACTATAGATCACAAGCGACTTAAGATATTATTAACCACACAGTACGCAGATCTCTTGCTTGCATCCAGATTCAAAGAAAGCCAATTATGAAAACTATTTTTTGAGCCAACTAGGTAAATTTAAATATGGATTGTTTGGTAAAACAAGATTAGCAAAATGTGATAACTGCTAAATGTAAGGGATGGGGACAGTGGGATTCATCATACTACTTTGTCTACTTTTAATTATGTTTGAGCCTGGCAGTAATACTGAATTTTTTAAATGTCTGAAAAAAGCTAAATAAATGAAAAGCATAGAAGACATTCAAGTTATCTTGAATTAAGGGATATATTTATTGTTCCCATATTTTTATTTTTCTTTTATCAAGGTTGCATATTTACATAGTTTCAGGCAATGTTTTCAAACTGTGTGTCATGAAATCAATTTAGTAGGTCATGATCTACGTTTCAAAAGCTTTTTTCTCTTGCTTGATATTTTTTATTTTGTAGTTAAACATAAAATCGCATGTAATAATATTTTTATATAGCATGCCAAGTAAAATTTCATTTTGGTAGGAATTTATATACATACATATGCTTAGAAAAATGTCCAATATCAAAATTCTAAGAGCAGTTTATCTCTGTGAGCAGATGGGTGATTTTTACTTTCTTCTTATGCTGCCATTTTCTGACTTTTCTATAAGGAACACAAATAATAAGTTTAAAATATATTAACAACTGGGCCTAGAATACAAATTTATAAGGAATAAGCAAATAATCCAAATGATAGAAATGGCAATATCACAAATAAAGATGCACTCAGGAAGCTAAAATGGTAGACAAAGATGCTTCAGACCTCACTCTAATTGGGAAAGTACTAATCAAAAAAACAATGGGAAACCATTTTTACCTATCAGGGTGACAATATCCAGTGATGTCCAAATGAAAGGAAATTCATACACTGCTACAATTTTTTGACAAAGTAGGCTAACAAAAGAAAATATCATTTGACGTGGATATCACACTTTTGGAAGTAACCTAAGGAAATGACATAGCCAGCATGCAAGGATACATGTATAAACACATTTCTAGCAGTACTGTTAATAATGGGAAAAGATGGGGAAACCTGAGTGCCCATCAAGAAGAATGATTGAATCAGCCCAGTTTATGCATACCATGCAACTAGAAAAAGAAAGCTTTATCATCTTGAGATATGTTATATTCTTTAGTAAGAAAAGTAAAATATAGAATAAATAAAAGTCATTACCACAGGGGGCTTATGGTGTCTGATGCAACAGTAAGGAGTTTGGAAGTTCCCATACCCATCCTCATAGCAAACAGCAAAACAAACTAAAATAACAAAACAAACTAAAATTCAACAGTTCTTAGGTTATCAGAGAATTGGGGTCACAGAGCAAGCCACTGCCCCAAAACTGGCGGGAGAGACAGGCAGATACAGAGAATCGTCAATTCAGCAAAGCTCAGAAGCAGAAGATGCCACAAAACCACCATTACCAGCATAGGAAAGCCTAAATTATGATGGACAAATTACTGAAGACTCAGCATGAACAAATTTCAGTTAAAACTCCAGGGGTTCCAGGCTTAGGGAAGCCCCCCCACCACTTTTGTGAATTTTATCACCAGGAACCCCACCAGGTTATCTATCACACTGAAAATCAAGTTGTTCTTCCAGGAAAGTGAGGGGAAAAACAGTCATGATAAAATATCCCTAAAGCATTCTGTTCTTTAACAAGGTCTGTCCTCAACAGAAACTATTCTACCAGAACCTAACCAACTGGGGTTCAATAAGAGCCTCATCAACCTAGCAAAAAGGAAATATCCAATTCCAGAACACTCTAATATTTGACTTAGGGTAAAGAAACACTAAACTCCAGTGCCTTTTAGCATTCCTGTCTCACTTAAGAGGGAACAAAAACAAGAAAACAGGTAAATATGTCTTGAGGATAGAGACTAAAAAAACTGAGGCCAAATCATAGGACTACAGAACACTTCCCTTCCCCCTATAACTTACCATCATAAATAATAACAGGGTACTACAAAATAACTATGCATCTCTGACCTTATTTAAGAAGTAGTCTCCAGGGAAGCCAAAAGACAACAGGGAAGGAAATTTTAGCCTCTGATACAGCTTCAGCAAACACCAAACACAACCTAACTGCGAGCCAGATAAATATAATACCTTACACTGAAAGTCAATTTATCTCATTTTCTTTTACTAAATACATTATATATCCCTTTCAACAGAAAATTACAAGGCATGCTAAAACACTGTCTGAATATGGAAAACCAAGCATAATGGAATTATCACACCAAGAATTTGAAAGTAACAGTGATTAATATTCTAAGGGCTCTTATGGAAAAAATAAACAACATGCAAGAACAGATGGGTACTGTAAGCAGAAAAATGGAAATTTCTAAGAAACAACCAAAAGGAAATGATGGAAATAAAAAATACTGTTAAGAGAAACAAAGAATGCCTTTGTTGGGTTCATCAACACACCAGATTTAAGCAAGCAAAGAATCAGTGAGCTTAAAGATATGTCAAAAGGAACTTCCAAAGGCTGAAATGCCAAGGAAAAAAAGAAAGTGAAAAAGAAAGTCCAAAAAAACATGGAACAATAACAACATAGATATAAATAGTAATACCAGAAACAAATAAGGGAATGAGGAAGGAAGGAAGAAAGGAGGAAGGGGATGGGGGAAGGACAGAAAAAAACCTAAAACTAATAATGATTGAAATTTCCCCAAATGATAAATATCCAACCACAAATCCAGGAAGCTTAAATATAAAGGAGGATAAATAACAAAACATCGACACCTAGGTCTATCACATGCAACCTGCAGAGAATCAAAGACGAAAAGAAAATCTTGATAGAAGCCAGGAAAAAAAAAAAACAACTTACCTATACAGTAGGAAAGATAAAATGCATATTGGATTTCTCCTCAGAAGCTATACAAGCAAGAAGAGAGTGAAATGAACTATTTATAAAGTGTTTAACAAAAAAAACTGACCAACTTAAATGAAGGTAGAATAAAATATTTTCCTTATTATTCACTGACCAGTTAAGAGTCTGTTTAAAGAAATAATAGCAAAAATGAGTTGAGTGATTACAGCTTATGGATAAGTAAAATGAATAACAATAATGTTATAAGGGATAGGAGGGAGGAAATAGGAATCCTCTATTATGAGGTACCTAAAGATCCTTTGGAGGAGGGCATGGCAACCCAATCCAGTATTCATGCCTGGAAAATCTCATGGACAGAGGAATCTAGTGGACTATGGTCCACAGGGTCACAGACTGTCAGATACAAGTGAAGCATGAACGAATGCATACAACTTAAAGTCACATAATGTTATTTTAAAGAGAACTTGGACCAACTGTAAATGTATATTGCAAACACAAGCTCAACTAAAAAAAATTTTTAAAGGATTTATATGCTCAGAAAAGAGAAAAAACAGAGTCATATAAAAAGACAAAGACAAGAGAAGGCAGCAAAAGAACAGAAGAAAAACAAGCAAGGGTAACTAATAGAAAACAAAACAAATTACAGTCGATAATAATTCAGCTACATCAACAAGTACTTTAAATGCCAATGGTCTAAAATACACCAGTTATTCAGAGCAGAATGTTGCACTGAATTTTTGAAAAGGCCCAACCCAATTTTATGTTGTCTACAAAAAAATCCACTTTAAATGTAAAGACCGACAGAGTAATACTAAGCAAAAGAAAAGCAGGAGAAACTATATTAAACTTCAGATGGAGCTGAGTTAAGAGCAAAAGAAGTCAACAGAATAAAGTGGAGCATTACATAAGGAATGCTCATTACTTAAACGAATCAATTTTCCAAAACATAACAACCTAATGTGCATAATCCCAGCAACAGTGTCAAAACTCTCCACTGCAGTTGGACACGTCAAGACCCCTCTAAGATTAACTGGCAAATTCAATACAAAGAAATTAGTGAGAACATATTTGAACACCACTATCAGTCAGCTGGATCTAATTTATGTCTGTATAATACTTCAACAACAGCAGAATAAATACATCTTCTCAATTCCCCATGAAACATTCACCAAGACAGGCCCAGTTACACACATAAAGTACACTTGAGCAAACTTAAAAGAATAGAAATCATACAAAGTATGCCATCAGATCACAATGGAATTAAACTAGAAATCAGTAACAGAAAGATAGCTGGAAAACTGCAAAATACATTAAAAAAATTTTTTTTCTAAATAAGTGGGTTAAAGGAGAAATCTAAAAGTTAATTTTTAAATATTTTGATGTAAATAAAACACACTTTACCAAAACACTTGGGATACAGCAAAGCTGTTGCTTAGGGGAAAAATTACAGCACTGAATATATGTATTAGAAAAGAATATCTAAAATCAATTACCTCTGCATCCACCCAAGGAACTAGAAAAAGAGCTAAGTAAGCAGAAGACAAATAATAAAAATTGGAACAGAAATCAGTGATACTGAAAATGGAAAATCAATACAAAAAGAAAAATCAGTGAAACTGAAAACTGATCCTCTGAAAAGAATAATAAGGCTCTAACCAGGTTAACTAAGGAAAGAAAGAGAAAAAGTACAAATTAGTAATATCAAAAATGAAAGAAGGGACACATCACTATTGTTCCCTCAAACATTAAAAGCACAGCAAAGGAATATATGAACAACTCTATGACCACAAATTTTATATACTAGATGAAATGAAACAACAACTAGAAAGACACAACCTACCAAAACTCACAGAGTGAGAAACAGATCATCTTAACAGGTTCAAATCTATTACAGAAAATGAATCAATAATTAATAGCCTTTCAAAACAGAAAGCATAGACCAAACAGCTTGACTGGCGAATTCCACCAAACATTTAAGGGAGACATTATATCAGTTCTCTACAATCTCTTCCAGAAAATACAAGAAGAGCTACGAAATACTACTTCCTAACTCATTCCAAAAGGCCAGCATTACTCTAATTCCAAAACCAGACAACTGATCTTCAACAACAGAGCAAAGGCGTTTTGGTGGAAAAATGGAGTCTTCAATAAAGGCTGCTTAACAAGTGGACATACACATGCCAAGAACAAAAAAGAAAAAAAGAATCTGGATATAGACCTTAAACATTTCACAAAAATTAACTCAAGATGGATCATAGACCTAAGGGAAAAATGCAAAACTAAAAAACTCCTGCTGCTGCTACATCACTTCAGTCATGTCCGACTCTGCGACCCCATAGACGGCAGCCCACCAGGCTCCTCTGTCCCTGGGATTCTCCAGGCAAGAATACTGGAGTGGGTTGCCATTTCCTTTCCTCCTCCAATGCATGTATGCATGCTAAGTCACTTCAGTCATGTACGACTCTTGTGTGACCCTATGGACAGCAGCCCACCCGGCTCCTCTGTCCACAGGATTCTCTAGGCAAGAATACTGGAGTGGGTTGCCATTTCCTTCTCCCAAAAAACTCCTAGAAGATAACAAAACAGAAAACCCTTGACAATGACACCAAAATTGCAACCAGGGGAAAAGAAATGGGGTTCCAGTGAAGGAAGCAGGATTTGATTAAAACTAAAAACTTCAGCTCTACAAAAGACACAAGAGAATAAAAAGACAAGCCAGACTGGGGAAAATCTTTTTAAAATGTATCTGATAAGGTCTGGTATACAACACATGTGTTTTCCTGGTGGCTCAAATGGTAAAGAATCTGCCTGCAATGTGGGAGACCTGGGTTTGACCCCTGGGGTGGGAAAATCCCCTAGAGAAGGGCCTGGCAAGCCTTGCCCAGAGAATCCTCATGGACAGAGGAGCCTGGTGGGCTATACAGTCCGTGGGGTCACAAAGAGTCTGACACAACCAAGTGACTAAGCACAGCACAGCACAAACGACACATACAAAGAAATGTAAAAACTCAGTAATAAGAAAACAACAGTAGCAATGACAGACAAGAAGCCCTTAAGTGAACAATGCAAACAGAGGAAAATAGAATGGGAAAGAGATCTCTTCAAGAAAATCAGAGATACCAAGAGAAAACTTCATGCAAAGATGACCACAATGAAGCACAGAAACGGCAAGGGCCTAACAGAAGCGAAGATGCTAAAAAGACGTGGCAAGAATACAAAGAAGAACTATACAGAAAAGGCCTTAATAACCCGGATAACCATGAAGGTGTGGTTACTCACCTAGAGCCAGACATCTTGAAGTGTGAAGTAAAGTGGGCCTTAGGAAGCGAAACAAAGCTCGTGGAGGTGATGGAATTCCAGCTGACGTATTTCAAAGCCTAAAAGATGAGGCTGTTGAAGTGCTGCACTCAATGTGTCAGGAAATTTGGAAAACTCAGCGTAGCCACAGGATTGGAAAAGGTCAATTTTCATTTCACTCCCAAAGAAAGGCAATGCCAAACAATGTACAAACTACTATACAGTTGTATTCATTTCACATGCTAGCAAGGTGATGCTCAAAATCCTTCAAGTTAGGCTTCATCAAGTTAGGGTCAGAAGTACCTGAATTAAGAACTTCTAAATGTACAAGTTGGATTTAGAAAAGCCAGAGGAACCAAAGATCAAAACTGCCAAAATCAGCTGGATCACAGAAAAAGCAAGGGAACTCCAGAAAAACATCTACTTATGCCTCACCAACTATGGAAAAGACTTGGACTGTGTGTATCACAACAAACTATGGAAAATTTTTAGATAAAGGGGAATACCAGACCATCTTACCTGTCTCCTGAGAAAGCTGTATGCAAGACAAGAAGCAAGAGTTAGAATCTAATGGCAGAAAGCAAAGAGGAACTAAAGAGCCTCTTGATGAGGGTCAAAGAGAAGAATGAAAAAACTGGCTTAAAACTCAACATCCAAAAATCAAAAGATCATGGTATCCGGTCCCATCACTTCATGGCAAATAGATGGAGAAAAGTACGAACAGTGACAGACTTTATTTTCTTGGGCTCCAAAATCACTGCGGATGGGGACTACAGCCAGGAAATTAAAAGACACTTGCTCCTTGCAAGAAAAGCTATGACAAACCTAAACAGTATATTAAAAAAAGACATCAGCTTGCTGACAAAGGTCGGATAGCGAAAGCTATGGTTTTTCCAGTAATCACGTATGGATGTGAGAGTTGGATCATAAAGAAGGCTGAGCACCGAGGAACTGATGCTTTAGAACTGTGGTGCTGGAGAAGACCCTTGAGAGTCCCTTGGACTGCAAGGAGATCAAACCAGCTGATCCTAAAGGAAATCAATCCTGGATATTCATTGGAAGGACTGATGCTGAAGCTCCAATAATTTGGCCACCTGATGTGATGAGCTGACTCACTGGAAAAGACCCTGAGGCTGGGAAAGATTGAGGGCAGGAGAAGAGGATGACAGAGGATGAGATGGTTAGATAGCATCACCAATTCAATGGATATGAATTTTAGCAAACTCCAGGAGACAGTGAAAGACAGGGAAGCCCGGGGTGCTGAAGTTCATGTCATCACAAAGAGTCAGACACAACTTAGGGACTGAAAAACAACAAAAAAACAAAAAGCTTAATTTAAAAATGAGTGAAAGATCTGAACAGATACCTCACCAAAGAAAAAACACAGATGGCAAATAAGTGCACGAATATCATTTTTCAACAGAGAAAGGCAAATTGAAACAACAATGTCATACATACTTAGAAAGACAAAAATCCATAATGCTAACAATGCCAAATGCTGGTGAGGACATGGAGCAACAAACTCACTCACTGCTTGTGGAAATGCAAATGCAGCCACTTTTGAAGACAATCTGGAAATTTCTTACAAAAGCAAACATACTCTTACATACAATCCAGTAACTGCACCCCTTGATATCTACCTAAAGAGGTTTAAAACTTTTATTTACAAAGAAACTCTCACATGAATGTTTATAGCTGCTTTATTCCTAA